CTTTCCCGAAAGCCTCTGGATAGGGACAGGTTTTTCCCACCCTTCCATTTTGGACCAAGATGGTTGGTGGAGGCAGAGGACTGCAGAGCTGCTGCTCCATCCTTCCTCCCTCCTCCTCCTCGCCCGCATCATCCAGGCGAGTCCCTGACTGCAGCACTGGGAGGGCAGCGGGTGCTGCCAGCCTTGGGTTCCGCCCAGCCCCTGATTTGGGGCTGGAAAGGGCAATTTGGGGTGCAGGAGCTGGGTGGTGGCTGGTGCGATGTGGGGAGGGACAGGGACAGCGAAGGGGGCCCTGCAGTGGCCTCATGGTCCCCCCCATTTCAGGCGTGGGCTTCGCCACGAGGCAGGTGGCCGGTCTCACCAAACCCACCACCATCATCGAGGTGAGCGGCGACAGGGTCACCGTGAAGACGCAGAGCACGTTCAAGAACACGGAGATCAGCTTCAAGCTGGGCGAAGAGTTCGACGAGACGACCGCTGACGACCGGCACGTCAAGGTGAGCGGAGGCGAGGGAGCGGGGACACGCAAGGGGCCAAAAAACAGTCCTCAGAGCATCTCTGAGCATCCCTCAGAGAGCATCTGCCTCCCACCAAGCTCCCTCTGATGTGGGCACAGCCGCATCCCCCAATAGTCCAACGCTTGAACCCCTGAGCTCTTGCTCCATCTTTTCTCTGTTCACTTTTTCATGCAATTGTTAAAAATCTCCCTGCCCACAGGGCCTGGTGTTCTGCCCTAGCAGCTCTTGGCACCTCTCTCCCCGATTCCTCCCCTCGATTTGCAGCCAGATTTTGCAAAAAAAGCTGCACTGAAGGCATTGGAGTTGCTGCAAGAGCCTGGCAGGACCTTCTGGGCAGGGAAGTGGGGCCACCCTGGGCATGGAGCTGCTGGGAAGGTTGTGCAAGAGCAAAATGGTGCAAGGCAGAATTACCCAAGCACCCGCCGGCCGGCCCAGGCCCAGGGCTTGCTCAAGAGAAAGAGAGAACGTGGCTGGGCAAAAGATGATTTTTGCCGCACTTCACAGCTTGCAGGGCATCCCTGCAGGGAAATAGCTGGGGAAATTGGTGTTTGCAAGGGGAAAGAGGTCAAGACTTCAACCTCCTCCTTGTTGGCCTCTTTCACCTCCCAGGAACGATCTTCCCCCTGCCCTTTTTTTTTTCCCCTAGCAAAGCTGTTTTTGCTGAGAACTTTCCCCTCGTGGCCCCGGGTGCCTGTGGGCACCCACGGTCCATTAAGCCAGCTCCAGGCACCGGCACTGTTGTCCCTGCCTGTCTGTCCATGCCCCCCAGCCCAGGGTTGTCGTGTTGCAGCAGGAGCCTTGCGGAACCTGGCTGAGCAGGTGTCCCTGCGGCCCTGTTGTCCAAGGAAAAGCCCAGGAACCCCCCTGGGATGGAGGCAGGAGGGACAGGGGAGAAGCCCT